TATATGAAACAATACATGCCGATGAAACCCCACAAGTGGGGTTTCAAGTTCTTTGTTTTAGCAGGTGTTTCTGGCTTCGCATATAAATTTGAGATCTATACTGGCCAAGAAAAGTTTGATAACCCAAGAGATAATGAGCCTAATCTTGGAGTTACCTCAAATATAGTAGTACGCTTAGCTAGAATCATACCAAGGATGAAAAATTATAGATTATACCATGATAATTACTACACAGCAGTTCCACTCATGGTATACCTCGCAAAACAAGGAATTTTTTCTTTGGGTACCATACGTCGCAACCGATTACCAAATTGTCAATTACCTACAGAATCATCACTGAAAAAAGAATCTCGTGGTACTAGCCATGAATATGTAGCAACAGTTGATAGTGTGGACATATCTTCATTGATTTGGAAAGACAACAAGTATGTTACGCTTATAATCATCATTTGCTGGGAGAAACCCAGTTTCAAAGGTAAAAAGATTTGATCGAAAGCAGAAGAAGAAGATTGAGGTCGATTGTCCCTATATCATCACTGAATACAACCGCCACATGGGAGGAGTGGATTTGTTAGACAGCATGATGGGGAGATATAAAATACGTTTGAAGAGTCGGAAATGGTACATGAGACTATTCTATCATCTTGTTGATATGACCCTTGTGAATGCCTGGTTGCTCTACAAGAGAGTACATCTTGAAAACGGTCGAGCTGGCAAAGTCAAGAATCAAGCTGAATTTCGCTCTGAAGTTGCCTTTTACTTGTGCCAGTTAGGTTCATTCCGTACCAAACGTGGCAGACCTAGTAACTTGGAGTCTGAGATCGCAGAAAAAAGAAAAAGAGGACCGACTAAATATGTGCCACCTAAAGAAGTACGCACAGATCAAACTGGCCATTGGCCGATCCCGCAAGATTCGAAAATGAGATGCAAATATCCCAACTGTGTAGGTTTCACACGAACCAAGTGTGAAAAATGTGGAATTGGGTTGTGCTTGAATAAAAATAATAACTGTTTCAGAAATTTCCATAACTAATTTCTTACTTCTTCGAATGCATGATGTAGCCATTTGGCAACAAACATTTTTTTATAAATAAACGAACTGAAAAATGAAAATTGATTTTTTTTATTATTTTTCTCTATCCTGTCTATGTGATTAGTTGTGATTTTTCGATATTTTGCGAGAAAAAAATAATTCATGCATTTAAGGGTTAATGTGAAATTCCCGAAAATTCCCGAATATTGAATTTGGTTCAACAAAACAATTTGTCGAATGGATATAGTGTCTCTTGAATCAACAAAATATTTCAATGAATTAACCAAATATTTCATTGAATCAACCAAATATTCATTGAATCAACCAAATATTTCATTGAATCAACCAAATATTTCGTTGAATCAACCAAATATTTCGTTGAATCAACTAAATATTTGATTCAATCAATATCTTGTTATTTTGAATCAAACAAAATGTTTGTTTGAGCCAATTCAATATCTCTTCATAAACAATTCATGGATGTGCTTGATTGAAGAAGATCCATAGTTCATGCAAGACATATTTACTCAATTCAAACTTCAAATTCGCTCTGAAACAAGATATAGATTTACTCAATTCCAGATTATATTTTGTCGTGCATATATGACACTTTTATTTGCTCCTTTCAATTAAATTTTGCTTGATTCAACGAATCCTTTTTTTCCGTGTAGACGCATTCGTTACAGTCGAGCTGGCAAAACCGCAATTTACCTCTGTATAAATGGAGCCAAGAACTAATTCTTTGATTCTTTCCCTGAAGTAAAATTTGGCTCTAAGAAAAAGAGTAAAAATACGTATACAACGAATCTCAATAAACTTCACGAAGAAACAATTTGAATATATAGGATATTGTTGTGATGTTCATTGCCGAAAAGATTAAATCAAAATGTCAGTCACGGTTTGTACGTATATCATGAATATATTCAATAATGGATTACATAAGATAGATGAAACCAGAGTTCACTTTCAATTATTATTTCATCAAATTTTTCATTGCAAAGAAACCTTGATGTAAACTAAAGCTCTTTCGTTATCTAATACTTTCTCCACTGCTACTTACTCTGTCTATGACATATTATTATTTTCAATATGATCAGATCGTATAGGTCACAATTGGAGTAATGTTTATTCATAAGTATAAATTCCTCAGAACTCTGTTTATTTTCTATAAAATGAGGTATAGGTGTTTTCTCACGAAAATTTTATGTTCGAAACCTAATTAAATCACTTGAAATAGGTCGTTACGAAGGCCAAAAAACGATTAGGTCCTGTTTTCGACGTATTAGTCAATTCACATATTATACAGAGTGTTCAAAAAGAGGGACTTCGTTGCAAGGATATGGTAGAACACTGCAAAATAAGTTGAATACATCCTAATTGTTCTACTGTGATTCATTGTTTACTATAGCATTGCATATTGTTATTGCTTGTTGTTAATAAAATAAAGAAGCGATCGATGGTCAGTGATACCTTGTTTAGAAAAATGTTTGAAGTTTAGAAAAATGTTTGAAGGAGAGGAAATAGTAGATGAGAAATATAAAACGTTCACCTCACTGAGGAAGGTTCCGAATCGAATCTGCTCCCGTTTTCAACTCCACCAAATAAATTATTTTCATTACTAGATTGATAGATGCGCGATCTATGAACAAACCAGTTCCGTTGCTACAAGTATACCTATATACATCAAAATATAATGAAATAGACTATTTGAACTGATATTCAATAATTTTCAAATTTCAATCTGGAAACGAAGGACTGAGGGTGAGAACAGAAGCCAATGTTTTTTTTCTGATGTAGTCATTTCATGAACTTAACAACCATCAGTATTGAGAAATAAATAGCAAGGATAATGGCTAATTGGGTTCCAGAAACACGGCACTGATGAAACCGAATATTATTATTTCCACACATAAAGATCATTATGACCATTGTTCTATTATTGAGAACGAAACAAAAAAAAAGTTACGGCAGCAACCTACTTGGAAATAATAATGTGCTGTGCCCGAAGAACGAAGAACGAAGAACGAAGAACGAAGAACGAAGAACGAAGAACGAAGAACGAAGAACGAAGAACGAAGAACGAAGAACGAAGAACGAAGAACGAAGAACGAAGAACGAAGAACGAAGAACGAAGAACGAAGAACGAAGAACGAAGAACGAAGAACGAAGAACGAAGAACGAAGAACGAAGAACGAAGAACGAAGAACGAAGAACGAAGAACGAAGAACGAAGAACGAAGAACGAAGAACGAAGAACGAAGAACGAAGAACGAAGAACGAAGAACGAAGAACGAAGAACGAAGAACGAAGAACGAAGAACGAAGAACGAAGAACGAAGAACGAAGAACGAAGAACGAAGAACGAAGAACGAAGAACGAAGAACGAAGAACGAAGAACGAAGAACGAAGAACGAAGAACGAAGAACGAAGAACGAAGAACGAAGAACGAAGAACGAAGAACGAAGAACGAAGAACGAAGAACGAAGAACGAAGAACGAAGAACGAAGAACGAAGAACGAAGAACGAAGAACGAAGAACGAAGAACGAAGAACGAAGAACGAAGAACGAAGAACGAAGAACGAAGAACGAAGAACGAAGAACGAAGAACGAAGAACGAAGAACGAAGAACGAAGAACGAAGAACGAAGAACGAAGAACGAAGAACGAAGAACGAAGAACGAAGAACGAAGAACGAAGAACGAAGAACGAAGAACGAAGAACGAAGAACGAAGAACGAAGAACGAAGAACGAAGAACGAAGAACGAAGAACGAAGAACGAAGAACGAAGAACGAAGAACGAAGAACGAAGAACGAAGAACGAAGAACGAAGAACGAAGAACGAAGAACGAAGAACGAAGAACGAAGAACGAAGAACGAAGAACGAAGAACGAAGAACGAAGAACGAAGAACGAAGAACGAAGAACGAAGAACGAAGAACGAAGAACGAAGAACGAAGAACGAAGAACGAAGAACGAAGAACGAAGAACGAAGAACGAAGAACGAAGAACGAAGAACGAAGAACGAAGAACGAAGAACGAAGAACGAAGAACGAAGAACGAAGAACGAAGAACGAAGAACGAAGAACGAAGAACGAAGAACGAAGAACGAAGAACGAAGAACGAAGAACGAAGAACGGAGAACGAAGAACGAAGAACGAAGAACGAAGAACGAAGAACGAAGAACGAAGAACGAAGAACGAAGAACGAAGAACGAAGAACGAAGAACGAAGAACGAAGAACGAAGAACGAAGAACGAAGAACGAAGAACGAAGAACGAAGAACGAAGAACGAAGAACGAAGAACGAAGAACGAAGAACGAAGAACGAAGAACGAAGAACGAAGAACGAAGAACGAAGAACGAAGAACGAAGAACGAAGAACGAAGAACGAAGAACGAAGAACGAAGAACGAAGAACGAAGAACGAAGAACGAAGAACGAAGAACGAAGAACGAAGAACGAAGAACGAAGAACGAAGAACGAAGAACGAAGAACGAAGAACGAAAACAAATGATGAAGAACAAAGTATAGATATAGAATATAAATATCATTCTCAGCCCTTATATCGGTCATCTACATGCAAATGATGATACAGGAACCCTTGAAACTAAAACTAATCCACGCCTGAGGAGGACAAGAACAAACAAAAAAAGTGAAGCAACTTCCGAAGATCACAGATGATAATTTCAAGTATATTCTCATGTTCAAGGTATCCAATCCGATAGTGACGTATTTACAATTAACGAAAATGTTGGCACACGCAACGTATCGTAGTGTGACCTATTGCAGAAAGCTGGCAAACGTACAGATTCTTCAGCAAGTTCCCCTTCTTTTGCTTCTTCTTCGTCTTCAAGAGCCCGGAACTAAGAGTGTCGAGCTTGCAGCCGCGTTCCATTGAATTCAGTTTGCTACTTACGATGAGCTGAAAAACTCTCACTTTTCGTGCTTCACACTGAAAGAAATCTTCGATGACCTTACAAGGTAGTGCCTGGATTAACTTCAATTTTTTTGTTTCATCGTTTTACATTTTTTATTAATTTGCAGTTTTTATGCCTGGAAGATTGGTGTAAAAAGGTGGAGTGTTAAATAGATTGCAGATTGAAGTGTTCCTAATTTTGAAAGCATACGAATTGTGTTTTTTTGGGCGAATAATGTATGAGGTGAGTCTTGAGACTATTTATATCAAACACCGTTTTGACAATTATATGAATTGTACATCAATAAAATCGCTAAAAAAAGGATGAATGCCATTTTGTACCAAAAATATTTGTACAGGGTGGGTCAACTAGGCCACTTTTAGAGGGAAAGTCCTATTCTCCCACTATGTAGAAGAAAAATGATGTCGGTGCCTGCAAACTCAATGGTGAAAACCTCTTTTCGGAGTTACAAGGTGTTCTCCAAAAATAGGCATTCTTGAAAAGTGGTAAGGAACTTTTTTTTCGCAAAAATTGTATGTTCTCATGAAAATAACAGCAAAACATTGGGTTTTGTGATAAAAATCATTCCTGAGGCACTGAAATCGGCCTTCCTATATCTTGCTCAAAAATATAACATGTTCTTTTTGAAGGAAAAGTATTATTTTGAAACTAGGTATATGGTGACTGATATCAGAAGCTGGATCAATTTTCATAACAAACACAATGCTTTGGAGATATTTTTATGGAACCGAAAAATTGTTGACAACAAAATTAGTATCAGCCACTTTCCGAAAATTCGTATTTTCGAAAAACCCCTTGTAACTCTGAAACGAAGATAGATATCGTTATATGCATTCTTCACCATTGAGTTTGTCAAGTGAATTGATCAACAGGCACCAATATCAGTTTTTTTTTCAGTATACGAGAATAGGACTTTCCTTTTAAAAATGTCCAATTTAGCCCACCCTGTACACACTGTTCATGATGAGAATGTCTATCATGATGATCTCGAAAACCCTAAGAGATAGAAGATGGTTAAACTAGAAAAAAGTTGTTCAAGCTTAACAAAAAGCCGTTCAGAAAGTTTTGAAATTCCCGAGTAGTACCGGAGATATGCCTATAAAAATCCAAAATTTTCATTTTTATTTCTTTCTGACTTTATAAAAAGATATAGGGGAACAAGAGACACTTCCTCATTGCCTTTTTTCAAGCTCTACAAAACAGCGCTGAGAGCTGTTATACAGGGTATACTATTTTAACGGGCCAAAAAAGAAATAAAGTTAATGAAACGTCGTACGGAGAGTCTCTTAACGCCGTTTTTTTAGCGCTCAAAAATTGGCAATGGGAGTTTTTTGCGTTCCTATACCTGTTCACATGACGTCAGAAAATAATGAAACTGAAATCACCAAATTTCGGTTTTTAAGGTATATCTCCAGAACAACTCGAAATTCTAAAACTTTCTGAAAACTATATTGTTGGGCATGAAAATGCAATTCTCTAATTCAATCATCTTCGTATCTCTTATGGTTCCCGAGATTCCTAAGATAGGCATCCTTATCTTGGACACACTGTATATCTAGAGATAAAGTCTGAACGTTATTTGCACAGTGCTTTTGCACTGAATAAATACATTTTCAGCCAAACTATTCATTTCCCAGGAATTTCCTGGAACAGGTCGATTTTTAAGCTCAATTCGTCACATTAATAAGGAGGAATTGAATATACAGGGTGATACACGATTGAATATATAAATATTATAGAATTTTTGAAATCTTTATTGAAGGTTGGACTCGCAAATATATTACAAATAGGGTTCATATGTAGGGTGTCCGTTGAATAGTTAGAGTAGCAAATGAATTCGTACAAAAAATAGAAGAATAATTTCTGGAAAGAATGGTCGATGCCGTCGAATTTCATTTACATTTGATTCTTACAAATTAGATTTATACATACAGAATGATCCGTGTAGGAGAAATGACGACATCTGTAGTTTTCAATGGCAACCCCATTTGAATTTATTATTTTTATATTTCAAGTAGTTTTTCTTATTTTATTTTCATTTCACCCATATTCATCACCACTTTTTGAATTCCCTCTTCAAAAATGGGTTGAATGGTGAGTTCAATTTGAAAAAAAATGCCAAAATGAAAAAAAAAAAGATTCGATGGCTCCGAACGATGTTTCAGAATTGTATTCCTCTATTTTTTTATACGAATATCTATGGAGATTCCAAAAATCGAATAATATATCAGAATATCTATGTTCCACTCGATGTTCCATTAGAATATATCGTTGCGGACGTCATATTTTTCAATCGTGGGCTAATTTTTTCTCATGAATGTGGCAAATTGAGATTAGAAATCGACTTGTTTCTCAGAAATGGATAGTTTGGGTGAAAATTAATTTATTATAGTACTTCACGGAAGCACTGTATTTATTAGTATCTCTTCATCGAATGATTTGTCATTGAATGAACAATGATACTTATATGAAATATAAATTCTATATACGAGAAGAGGCAAGTATAGGCACTTTTTTTACCTGTCATTAGGAACACGGTAGGATTTTAATTCAATACAGCATCAATAGAATCTTCAGAAATTCTAGAAGAAAAAACAATCGATTAATTACATAGAGTTGGAACTTTCATTATTTAGAACACCACAACATCTTAATTTTTCATAAATGGGTCTGAGGAAGACAACCGATCAATCCCTATTTTTTTGAAACGGAAATACGAATTTCGGAATATTTTTATTTCCAAAAGGTTCGAAATTTAACTTTTTCATTAATATCTTGTTCTTTGGATATAGAAACATAATCTGAAAAAATTACAAGAAACTTGGGGTACACACAAAAAAATTTACTCTTGGATTTAATACCATCATGATTTAAGGATACTGACTTCAATCTAACCATAGTTGACTTCAAATCAAAATCAATTTCTTGAAGCAAGCATACGACTGCGTTTGAACGAAAATAATTCTTCTTTTATCGTATGGTCTCTGTTGAAAATCATTGTTTTTGATGCAAAGTCAAGTGTTCTCACCTTGAGTACATCACATTTTTGAATTCAAGATTAGTCAATATTTTCATCCAAAATTAGTATTGCTATTTGGTTTTGAAAGGAGATTGAATGCTTTTGGATGAAAATCATTTTAACGGTTTTCGATTTTCCCTCTAATATCCCAAGAGCATGAAGCTCTTGAGTCCGTGAATTCCTTGAAAGAAATGAAAGGGGAATCGGCAGACGCGTGCCACAGCTCATTTACATTTAGTCAGTGCAAGGTCACATATAAGTGTTTTACTGTTTTCGTCTTTCCACTTCCAGTTGTGAAAATATATGGAAAATATTCCTCGCATCGTGTAATTCTAATCATTATGTGTACAACAATAGAAGACCTCCTCTTATCCTGGAATATACCGCAGGAAGTTATTACAAAATTTATACCACCACGAAGCAGAATCAGCGTGAAAAAAAACTATGGAAATTTTCTATCACTGAGGCGCAAGAAGGAATAGTAGTTCAAGTTAAGGTGAGATACAGAGTAGATATGTATTATGTTGAGTATCATTAACCACCCTTTCATCTTAGGATGTGTCTATGATAGAAAATACTCTGGAACGCATTGAAAAAGCGGCCTCATCTAGGCACCAGAAGGTCCAGCCTTATATGCTGGCATGTGGCACTGACGTCTCCGATCTTCAAGCTGTATACTTATATATACTCATATATATGTTGAATACAAGTACAAAATAATACGAGAGAAAAAAAACTCATTTCGAAAGCATCAAGTTATCCCTGAGAAAAGAGAGTGTACCCATTCAAAGCGAGAATACTATGATCGAAAACCAAACTCATGTTGATTTAAGATGAAGAGAATACACAACTGGGAGCAAGAATAACACGTTTTATATAGAAAATATTGGTATTTTTGACCCAAAATCAAAATATCCTCAATGAGAGACCAATGATGACTCCAAATTGAAGGTACTCAGTTTCTTCATCCAATATATCCCATACTCTTGGAATATGTTTTCCATTAAAAAGTACTGTATTCTTCATTTGTGAGAATAACTTGGTCTTGAAACGAAGTCTTGATGCCTCTGAGGCTATATGCACCTCATGATGTCGTTGAAATGAGAGCATTACTCTCAATTCAAGAGTAGATTTTTTTGTGTGTACTATAGCAGAAAATAGAAGTATAGATTTGTTATGTTGATTCAAAGAGAAATTTCCAACGAATCAATGATGGCATTCGAATCTACGTGCGGTTACACAGATACATAACCTTAAACGTAAACATCAACATAATCGATTATATAATAACATTCGAATAATATAGCGACCTACCAGCCTACTTCGACAAACTCATTCTATTACATAAAACACCGGTCCTCAAAATATTCGAATATATTGCCAGGTATTGCATGAATGATGCGGTATATAATATGAATATTCTGTTATGAGATATAACACATGGAAATTGATATTCTCATAATTTGGAGATATTATATAGGTTCCAAAGTTACGAGAATGGAGTTTGGGAGATTGTGAATTTTCTGACAGATAACTATTTTCAAGGACAACATATTGTTTGAAAAGACGAAATGGATACCCTGTATATATCATTATTTTTCTACTCGAAATAATATTCGTCATATTTCATCATATCGAAAATAAATAGTTGCAAGACAGTTAATCATAGTTTCAAGAAATTCTATAGCGAAGTTTGACTGAGACCCAAAAATATTTAGTTCTGAATCCAATACCGAGATTAAATGAAAAGATTTCAACTGCAGATTCTATAAAGTAACAAAAATAATGAAAAAAGTTCATAAAAACATGGGTCCAGTCGCCCAAGAGCCCAGCCCAAGATGAAAGTTTTTTGTAAATATTTTCGAAAACCTTTGTGAAAAAATATTAAAATTCTGTACATGGAATAATCATATTTATAGTGTTAAACTAAAGCTTAATGAACATATATATCTACTTCGTAATTGACAAACAGTTTCTTTCGATGTTCTTAAACTTCTATATCACAGTTTGATTCAATCTGTCATAGCTCATGGTCTAGAACAGTGTTGTTCATCTGCCAAATCTCCCGTAGTATTTATTATACAAAAAAAGCAATAGGAATTATGGCAGGTGCATCATCCAGAGATCATTGCAGGACATTATTCATTCGATATAAGTATATCAGGAATAATTTCTCAAGTATTCCCAAAATTGAACAAATTCA